AGGAGAGGGTTTCGACCTTACCTACCCAATTTTAAAAAAAATGGGATTTTTCTGATTGTTGACCGGCGTTGACCGACGTTGACCGACGTTGACCGGCGGTCCAGCTGCTCCAGCAGTCCAGCAGGTCAGTCCAGCGGCCCAACAGCACAGGTCCAGTAGCTTGGCAGCCCAAATCCAGCAGGTCAGCAGCCCAGCTCCAAATCAGCAACTCAGTAGCGCTCAGGCCCAAGTCCAGTAGCCCAAGGTCCAGCAATTGAAGCCCAGTAGGCTTTGTCGTCCCTGCTTTCTGTGTCCCGCGAGGAGCGAACTCCAGACCTCCTGCGAACCACAAAACTGTCGGCGGTGGCTCCGAAGGGCGAGCGACGGGTCCAGTCACGAGCGACCACCGTCGATAGCTCTCAGGCGACGGCGGATGGCGGCTTCGGTGGCTTCGGCGATTTGCGCAGCAACCGGCTTCCAGTCCGACCCTTCTGAGTTCAGTTCTTCAGGTCCAAGCTTACCAGGCGATGGACACCTCCACGGACGGCGAATCGACGGTCACGACTTCCCTGACCTCGAATTGGCGGCGGACGGCGGCAGACGGCGGCGGTGAATGGCGGCAGACGGCGAACCCTCTCTGATACCACTGTTAGGATCGTATCCGTCTCCGGCTCAGGTCTCCAACCACTCTAGACTAAACTCACAGACACCCTCTAGGGCTAGGCCACAACATCTCCCATGTTTACTCACTCTTCTTCACTCCACAAAGGAACTCTCACACAAGGAAAGGAAGAAGGAAGACACTGCTCTCTGGGATTATTTACGCAGGCTTAATTCGCAGAGAAGAACCAAGGGTCGCATATATAGTAGGCAGACTGCCTACAAGACACTCACGGGTAAACTGAAGGACAGTCACGGGTAGCAAGACAACAATAGAGCACTGCAGCGGACAACACACAAAGGGGCTCACATATTGTAAGTCAACAGGCACCAATGAGTGATTTCAACTAAGGGAATCAAAGTGGGAGTAAACATGGGGTGCAAGCCTTAATAATAAAGTGGAAGGGAGGCCTTGGTAGGACCAATACCTCCAACAATATCAAAAAAAACCGACCCGCAGTGACCCGCCCTGGCCCTAGACATTTGGGACGGGTCCGGTCCGGTCCATCTTCCAAATGGGGCGGATCCGCCCCGCCCCGCCTATACAATGGGGCGGGTTCGGGTATTAGTATTGACCCGTGCCGCCCCGACTCACCTCGACCCGATCCGCTCAATACATAAACATACATATTTTTTCTTAAATTATACTATAAATATACTTCAACATACATATGTGTGTATACAGTAAATCATAAATTCTTTGATCGTATAATATATTAATACATATATTAGAATGAGATGAACGACGAATTATCAATGTCTTCTTTATATATAGTATTTTAATACATATGTTCAATTATTAGTATAATTTAATAGATTAACTATTCAAGTCTGAGTAATTTTTCCTTAATTTTTGAAATTTTTAGGGTATCATGAATTTGATTTAATATATTAATTTTAATTATTATTTAGAGATAAACTTTATGTAGATTCAATTGGTAACAACTTGCCACAAATAAAAATACATACTAGCTAATTAGGTTACGGCGGGGTGGGGCGGGGTGGACCCGCCCAACATGGGGCAGGTCATGGGTCAAAAAGTTTGGACCCGTGCAAGTCACGGGGCGGGGCGGACCCGCCCTGACCCATTGCCATGCCTACATTCTATATATATTTGGTTTATGTACACTTTGATTAGCAATTAACTTCTGAAATTTAATTTAGTTCCTACCTCCATTTGCCTTTACATTTATTATTTGCTCTTACTGTATTACAATATAGCAAGTGCCCAACTACCTTCTATTGCCTTTGATTTCATAACACACCATGGATACTCTCACAACTAATTTGTTTCTCCACATTTGTACCTCTTATTGATCTAAAGATGTGTTTTGCAACATCTTTTCATTCTTCACACTAATGACACATATCTTTCATTCCTCAACTTTGCTATATAGTTTATGTTACCTTTTTTTTATTGTTTATGTTACCTCTTCTTGTTTGTGTCATTGAAATATGTAATCACACAAACAACACATTCCACGTAATCATTTTTACATTTATAATCTTTTCATCACGCTATTTTATTTACGTTTGCAATGCACACAACTTGCACGAGGTTCAACACCTCTCGTACTCCAAATAGCGATTCAGTATATGATCTCTAATTAAACTGCAAGTAGAAGTCCATAAGTAGACTTTGCCAAAAATATGTTCTCCGTGTTCTACCTCCCATCGAATAGTAGAGTAACCATAATAAACTATGGTCACTCTCACAACTAATTTGTTTCTCCACATTTCTACTTCTTATTGATCTAAAGATGTGTTTTGCAACATCTGTGCATTCTTCACACTAATGACACATATCTTTCATTCCCTTACTTTGCTATATACTCTATTGTTTTATGTTATCTCTTCTTGTTTGTGTCATTGAAATATGTAGTCACACAAACAATACATTCCACGTAATCATTTTTACATTTATAATCTTTTCATCACACTATTTTATTTACGTTCTCAATGCATACAACTTGCGCGAGGTTCAACACCTCTTGTACTTCAAATAGCAATTCAGATCTCTAAACTGCAAGTAGAAGTCCATAAGTAGACTTTGCCAAAAATATGTTCTCCACATTCTACCTCCCATCTAATAGTAGAGTAACCATAAGTTGGTCCATCCATGTGTCATTACGATTTTCTAGTTGCAACGTTTTCATTTTCACGTTTGTCAATTCACAACTTTAACTATTGATATACTCTGTATTTTATTCCTTAACAGTAGAAAATTTTAATTAAGACTTTGAACATTTAAGATGAGGGGAATTTAATAAATTTTTCAAAAGTTTAATTTCTAATACATTAATAAATAAAATGGATTTTGACCTAAATATTACTCCCTCCATATTTAAAAGTTCACTATAATATGTTTGGGCACATTATTTAAGGATGAAATAGTAGGGGTAATGAATAGTGTAGGAAAAGTACAAGAGTAATTGCATCTTTTTAAAGAAAAAACTTACCAAAAAGGGAAAGTATAGCAAATTTCTAAATACATGAAAAAAGAAAAAAACGTAGCAAACTTTAAAAATACGAAGGGAATACTAAATAGTGGATAATGGATACAAAAGTGACCTTTTTAAAAATTTCCAAAAATATGACTACTAAGCATTAAGTTTACTAAATATCCCAGCCACAGTGAAAACATACACGGTAATGTCGGCCACAATGACACCGCCGCCGGTGACACCGCCACAGTGAAATGCCGACTCTGCACATAGTGACATTGCCACAATGACATCGTTGTTGGTGACACGTAGACTCCGGTCACTATCCCCCACTCTGCATCCTCCACACCACCACTGCCCCACCTCCACACCATCGTCACTGCTCCACCCTCGCACTGCCATTACTGCCTCACCCCCACCCCACCCCCACCTTCCCAGCTCCCTGCGCGGTGACCCATTCGCGTCATCGCCCAACGTTGCCCCCACTACCACAAACCAAACCCTAGACGCCTCCGTCCACCATTTCCGCTCATCTCCGAACCCTAGCTACCGCTCATCGCTGAACCTTAGACGCCACCGCTGAACCTCAACCGCCACCATAGCCTTCTTATGAGACCGTTTATCAGTGAAGAATAAGAGCATCACGTGGCGGCAAGAGTAGTGTTAGGTAGTGGAGAGATGGGGTACAAATGTTCAAAGAAAAACTAAATGGGTCGATGCTACAAATGTTGTAATATTCACAATTTTATTCAAATGACATGTAAATGCAATTTGTTATTGATATCACCAAACACCTTTTCATACAAGTAGAGTACAAAATATAACAAATACAAATATGTAGTATTAGCTAACTTTGTCATAACGAATGTATGATATGTAAAAGTTAAAATGATATACGCTAAACGTGTATTTTTTGTGTCTAGATTATTTATTTATACCATAAAGATGGAGAGTGAAGATAAATACAATATATATACACACACACACACACACACACACACACACATTACAAGTTGTTCGTTGTTCGATTCAATTTACGGTTTTTCGGTTTTAAATAAAAAACAAAACAAACCATTCGGTTTGGTCAAATTGTTACCAAATGGTTTACATAACTCAATACAAATCAAACCAAATTACCAAATTTTGGTTTGGTTCAATTCATTTCGGTTAAACCAAACCATTTTGCCCAACCCTAGTCGAAAGACTGAATATCACTATGTGGTTATGAGTGGGGCACATAGTACGGAGTGTATTTTATGTTTCTCAAGTCGCAATTCGCACTAATACATGAATTGATTCATATTAACCAATATGAAAATCTTTTGGGATTAAAGCTTGGATGTTGTTGAAGTCGAAATTGGCAACTAGGGTTTTATGATCTTTGATGACCTCCTAAAGATTTATTTATTACATCTATCTTTAAAGCTTTGAGTTTGATTTTAATATTCTGGTAACATTACATACTTGATAGTTGATACTCTCTTTTTCACATTAGAAGATTCCCGTGAGTAATGATACAATTCCTTAGGCAAGTGGTTAAATAAAGTAATTTGAATACAAAAAAAAAGAAAAAGAAAATTTAGAAATAGTAAACATATAAAATGAAAATAATTAAAAAAAGATAAGTTGGAGGACAAGAAATTGTGAACTTGACATATAATGAGTAAAAAAGAAAATTTTGAATAAGGTCTAATTAAGGAGAATAAATTTTTTTCTGAAAAGGAATAAGAACTTTTAAATAGTACACAATATATCAAGATAGAAAAAATCTATTAGTACACACTCATGTCTGTGAAGACTTTTTTTATGTCTTTCCTAAACAAAACGTATTTGACAAATACGTTTTGTCTAGAACAGACAAACAAATGTATCACAAACATCTGTGTGTAAGAGTGTGTACACAAAGAAGGTACACAATTCTGATTCCGAGATTACTTGAATTACACATTGAAATAAATGCATGATACACAATATCATTACTAACAAAAATTGAAAAACTATTACCCCGTAGATTAAATCTTAACTAAAACTTCGAAACAGCCATGAATTTTCTAACTTCGTGGCACAAACTACAGTATATTTGACTTTTCCCACTAAAAATGGCATTTCTCTTCAAAGAGTTGAGGATGTTTCAATTCCAGGTCTTCACCCTTCTCTGTTACTTCTTCTCATCTCTGGCAACAATCTTGAACTTTCCAGTTTGCTGTTGCTGAAAAGAGTGAAAACAGAACACCATGTTTATAATACAAAAAATGCACAACTTGAAATTCAAGGAAGCAAAAGATGGTACCTTTTCCCACAAATCAGAGTGGGCTCTGCAAAATCCAGCCACAATGTCACCCTTACTCCTGCCCTGGTTATACTCAATGCACAAACCTTGTTCCACCCCACAAGTGACATGAAAGGCTAAGGTGCAGTTGACTTCAGCGCAATCAAGAACGCATCCTCTTCTTGATTTGCAGAGATAACACTTTTGATCCCATCTCCTCTTTGGCACTTTACTGCAATTAATCCCTTCTCTGCCTTCTGGGTCAGTGAAGAACACCTCAGGAACGAATAAAGCACAAACAAGGTGGGCCCATTTTCCGTCGCTGGTCGGCTTAAGAGCGCCGCCGGCCGCCGGGCAGAGGGAGCAAGAGATGGGCTTTTCGTCTTTCGCCATACACCGAGCGCAAAACCAATCGCCTTCCGGGACACCCTTTGTCAAAGGGTTCCCGTAGCAAGTGGTATGAACCATCAGATCACAGCCGTCGCAAAGGACGATGGGGTCCGACGGCTCCCCGTCCGTGCTTTCACACACAGCACACAATATCCCGTCGTCGTCGTCTGGTTCCGGTTTTCGTGAAGCGTTGACTTCTTTTGACCCAACCTCGTCATCAGGTACTGGGTTGTACTCGACATTGAGGTCTAGTGGATGGATTGCCCAGATTCTTTTCTTCGCCGGAAGGCAACAAGTGGTGGCGGCGGTGGGGGTGGAGGGAGGTGGAGAATTCGGTGGCGGTCCTGTTTCTAGTTTTCGTTTTTTAGCAGGAAGGTTTGAGGAAAGGGCGGCGTTTTCTTGGTTTTTTTGCATCTGAGTGAACCTCTTGAGAGGTGGCAAGCTTTGAAGCTTTCCACCCATTTGTGGAGACTGAAATGCAGAGATGGAAGATTGGGATCGGAGAAGGGGAAGAGTGAATGTTAGATTTGAGGGTTGCGGGTGGAATTAATGGAGCTTTTCAGATTTGGGCGATTTTGAATGAAAAAGTTGAAATTTTGTGTGGGAGAAGAAAACCCGGGAAGGTCATATCCCGCGGGCGTTTGTTTTTCTTTAACGGAAATTTCACCCCGCCAAAAATAATCAATCAAGTATCAATATTTCACGTTTCATTTGGTCCATAAAACAAACGGAATCCCACCCCTGAGGAACTTCCCCTACTTTGACCCGACAGGATTTTTGGGAGGATGTTAATCACGATGACATGATCGGCTCAATGATGGTAGACCTTTTTCTCCTGCGCACCAGAGGCCCAGCCTTATTTCAGGTTCTGTGACCTACACATGGCCGCTGCGGATTTCAAACATTGGTCACTTGGTCCAAATTTTTCACAACTGAACCAACTGAGCTACCCGTGCAGGCCCGTCAATGATCAAAATTGACTATAGACTATAGACTATAGAGCGATGCATGGTGTATAGACTACATTTCCCGCAACATGACTATAGACTATAGAGCGGGCCCGTCAATGATCAAAATTGTGTCTAATTATGAAGAGGTTGTATTGGTTGATTCTGTCGATTTATAAACAAAAAGTTTAATATATTTTGTTTTCAAAATTAACAAAACATGATATGAAAATGTAGCTAAAATGATTCTACACAGTAACTTCAGTTAATACAATCAGAAAAATAACTCAAACCTTATTTTTTCTTATTATTACACAAATCATTTGTGTAATAAAAAATTAACAACTTATTTGTTTTGGTAAAATTATAAGTCTGATAAATCGAGAAACACGGTTACCAACTTATTTGTTTTGGTTACTTTTCATTACTGATTAATCGTGTTACATTATTGTTCTTACACTAGTGTTATTTTGTTGAATTGTTAATGCTACTAATAGTATTTTTTGGTGCATACATTACATAAAATAGTTACTCTTATGATTTTTTGCTCCATATACGACCCCCTCCTGCGGGAGGCACCTCTATCGCATAAGCTCGATTTCGTATTTCATATGTTACTTTTTACTCAAACTAGTACTCAAACTAGTATACCACTCGCGCGATGCATGGTGAGTAAATTAATTTTCTTTGAAGAATTAGGCTTATATTGATATCTCAACATTTAGATAGTGGGTAATCCCACAAACAGAATTTTGACAACCATCGTCCCGCGAATCAGACCCAGAGTTAATCACCTCAACAGAAACAATATAACTCGCTGATCCATTCATCCATTAATGGGCACAAATGAGCCAAAGACAGTTACCCCAATTCTCTTATCCCCCTATCCAAATCAATCGTCTTACAGAAAGGAATCACAAAAACAAAACAAAACATAAAACAAACAGAACAGTCTGAAAATAATAGAATAAAACTGAAAAGCTTGAGTTGTTGCCCTAGATTAATGAACTCCACCAGCACCCAAATCTTCTGCCTTTGGTTCGGAATCCACTTAGGCGGACTTACTGGTCGAAGTCCGCCTCCTCCCCGTTTTTTGTCCCATCCAGGGTCATGCTATCCTTACCCTTCTGCTCTTCTCCCGGGGTCTCCCATGACCTCCTTCACTTTTGTTCCCCCGCTGTTTCTTCCTTTGCTTCACCATAAATTCCCTTCGTAATACTCTGTTCTGAATCTGCAACAGCCTCTTTTCTCCCCACTCCCCAACTTGTCCTCAGACCTGTTACCCTCTCCAAACCTATGATCTCTGTCATAGCTCGATGAACCCTCCAATAACCACTGGTTTCCTCCTGTAAGACTCGTCTTCCCCCCGCTACCTGCTCTAAGATGGACTCCAAACTTTTCTCCAGAACTATATCTTCTTCATAAATTAAATGGCATAATTTATCTGAATGTCTAATTAGACCGCAAATAAAAAAGAAGTTGGGTAATTTTTCATATTTGAAGTCAATCCAACAGCTCTTGCCATCTTTCTTCATATTAGTACATCTTTTCAGAGATTTTTCCACATTCATACAAACTCTTATTCTCATATAAGCTTCTCACTTGTCACTGTTCTGATTATCATCATATTTTATAAATTTTTCTATAAAATTTCCAACTCTTTTGGCAATACCTAGGTTAACTAGGCTATAAGGAACATTATGAATCTGAACCCAGAATTCTGCCTCATTCAAAACAACATTATCGGGGATATCATCCGGCTTAACTTCTTTTAATAACAACATATTTCGTTCAAATTGTCAAGGCCCTCCTTCTAGAACACAAATCATATCCACCCGATGATAGAAAGTAAAAAGATACATTTTTTCCCCAACTTCTTTGACCAAGAGCCCTTTGCCTGGCCGCCACAACGAGGCCATCCATGAGCTCTTTGATAGCTGGAAATCTGACTTTGCGGTCCGTCAACAGAACCCCTACCACCGGAAACTCGGGTATGCTTTCTTCCACTGGCAATTCCCCCGCCTCTGTATCATCGAGATCCAAATCTTCTTCCTCTTCCTCAAGTGTCATCTTCCTATATTTCTCCACAACACTTTCCATGCAAAGACCCTCCTCCTTGCCTAATGAACAATGTTATCGCTGGCTGATTACTCCAAACGTATTAGTGGTGTTCTGCAAAAGGGAAACTACCGCACCCTCTTAAACCTCACCGGCGAAATCCAGAGAAGCCCAATCAAAGCGAAAAAGCGAAGCTTCAGAGAAGCTCGAATGGAAGTCCGCTCCTCGCGCGGCTGACCAGCAGCCAAGAAAGCCCTGGTAGAAGTCGGCGGCGGGTAATAAACCGCTAGGCATTACCTGAATGTAACTCTAGAGAGATGTTTCCCTTTTATGGTAAGGCATGGTTAGTAAATCAATTAAAAATATACTATCCTCCGTTCCATTTTAATCGCAACATGTTGAATTTTACACTATTCACATGCTCTACTTTGACAACATTTTACGCTATTATTTTATGAAAATTATTATTTTTTAAATATTGTTCAATTCATCTCATTACAAATATTCAAAATCTGATTTTTAATATTTTTTACTAATAGAATTAAGATATAATTACGATCAAAGACGTGCGTTGGCAAATGTGAAATATTGACCGTTGCAACTAAAAAAGAACGGAGGGAGTATATATAATTAGTATTTAATGTAAACATGTATTCATATTGTAAAAATGTTAAATGCTGATGATATAAAATAAAATGTAATAATTTGACCATATCTATATAATATAATAATGCAACCCCATGAAGAGCTCTTTGGAGATATAATTGACGCGTAGCACCATCTTTTGTAGATAAAACGACACGTGGCAACAACATAAAATAAAAGTTATTCAACTTCGAAACTCCCACTCATATGTATTCCAATAAAAAATTAGATAAAAATTTATGTGTAATGTATATAAGTTAGGAGTATTATATGGATAGGTATGTGTGTTTATGTGTTACAGTGTTGTGTATAAATATAGGCAAAAAATTGCACTTGACAGTAGTACAAAAATTGTAAATACTTGAAACTAAAAAAATAACAAATTTTAGCCTCTTTTAATAAAAATTATTCCTCTCATACTTCTTTTCCAACAAAATCTTCCGGGTTTTAAAGGTTACCCCGCTGGTAAATGTAAAAAATACACATGTAAAAAGATCTTGAAAATAATTACCCTCAAATAAGAATGATCTTGAAAAAATTTATGTGTAATATATATAAGTTAGGACTATAATATGTGTGTGTATTATGCGTCACAATGTTGTGTTTAAATATAGATAAAAATTTCCACTTCACAGTAGTACAAAATTGCAAATACTCAAAAATAAAAATAAATAACAAATTTTAGTCTCTTAAAATAAAAAATATTCCTCTGATACTTCTTTTCCATTAAAATCTTGCAGGTTTTAAAGGTTGTCCTGCTGGTCAATGTAAAAATACACATGAAAAAAGATCTTGAAAATATATATATACCCTAAAACAAGAATAATCTTGAAAGAATATGTGTAATATATATAAGTTAGGAGTACTATGTGTGTGTGTTTGTGCATCACAATGCTGTGTATAAATATAGTTATATTGGTAAATATTTGCACTTGATTGCATTATAAAAATTGCAAATACTCAAAATTAAAAATTAAATAACAAATTTTAGCCTCTTAAATTAAAAAAATATTTCTCTCATACTTCTTTTCCAACAAAATCTTGCGAGTTTTAAAGGTTGCCCCGTTGGTCAATTTAAAAAATACACATGAAAAAAGATCTTGAAAATAATTACCTTGAAATAAAAATGATCTGTAACGATGCACATCATGATTAATGAGGGTGCACACATATAATTAAAACAATGCCTACTTTAAATGCACAGAAAAGGTAAAACTTATTTACAAAATGTCGCCTCATTTTTTATTTTATGGTAGTGCACATTTCTATTTCACATGATGAGTAACTATGAAATCTAACATTCCAAATTCATTCCCATTTTTCTTCTTAGATCATGTTCTCATTTGATCCAAATTATTTACGTAGTGTGTGTGTTTGTATGGGTAAGCAAAAGCTGTCGAAGGAATATGAAGACATCGGTTTCAAATGTAAAAGAGAAATGGTGCTAAATAGGAGTTTAACTTCCCGTGTGTAATTAAATAAGACCTTGACTTTTTTAACTCCTAAATATGACCTAATTTTAAGAAGTTTCCAAAATTGCTCCTGTTTCCTAAATAACCACCCGTGTCTTCATCTCTTAGCAGCTCCATCCCCGAAGCAGAAACAGAGCTTCGTCGAACAAAGCACGCAGCACAAAAAACTTAATGAGATAAGGCGGGGCAGGTGGGCAGTCTTGCGGAGGAGCGAGCGCGGCGGCGGAGAGAGCAGTGGTAGCGGCAGGCTCGAGCCGCGCGGCAGGCTCAGGCCGCCCAGCAGTCATGTTTTTCTTCTTCTCCTCGGCTATGTTCCTCTTTCTTCTAGTCCCTTCTTTTCCTTGCTCGGCAGCAGGCTTGTTTTTTGCTCCGTCTGCGGCATGAAGCTTCTTTCATCAATTTAGGTTATTTTTTAATTTTTATTTTTTTCCGTCCACCTCTTGACTCCAACACATATTGTAAGAGC